GCTGCTTCTCCAGCAAGCCCGTCTGGTTCTCCTCAGGCCAGCAATACCACCCTAGGCTCCTTTCGGCCCGGGGTTACGTGATCCCTTCCTGCTTTTTCCCTCCTCCGCACCCACCAAGCCCAAGAGGCTGCTAAAGCTCACTCAGCAACACTTCCCACATCTATAAAACAGCACGTTTCTAGTATTTTCTGCCTATTTAAAACCCAAATCTGGACATGGCCGCCACAGCAGAGCCCACAAGGACCTTCACACCCCCAGCCCCCTCCGACCGCCCTCAAGAGGGAGGCCATACCCTCACACCTGTCCATCCCAGGGGGACCTACCCAGCTGCAAGCAGCATGACGGGCAAACCCGCGCTTCCTTGTTAGTTTTTACTTACAACCTTAAAGCTTAATTATAACAATTTTGAGTTCAGCATGAAAAGAAATAGTATCTGGCACATCTCCCAGTGTGTGTTGTGCACGCAACGCTTATAATTAGCAGCAGACAGGACACATCTGCTCCAACAACGCGAATTGTATTCGGCTCTCGTTTACACCAGCGCCACCAATCCCCAGGACACTTGCCCTGCTACCCGCCTTGGGTCTGCATCTGCTCGGAGGATCACACCCGTGGCCAGATCCATCAGCATCCTAAAGGCACCTCAAGTTTTCCAAAGGTGGCTACAAGCCCAGGAGCAGCTTTCATCCATGAGGTTGTCAAATCCCTGCTCCAGGGAGCTGCATCCCATTCAGATGGGGATTTGATACTGAAAGCAGTTTTGGGGTCCCACCATGTGCTGCTGAGCTTGGGCTGAGACCTTCCCTCCACTGAGCAAACCCTCAGAGCAGGAACCCTGAAGGACTTCAGTTGACTTTTTACCCAACCTCAACATGTTTTCATCACTCCTAGCCAGCTGCAGCTCCTCACCACGTCCACTCTTCCAGCAGCAGGGTGGAAGCACCCTGGAAAAACCACTCCGCAATGCCACACCATCCCTTCACAGCCCCCCCACCCAGGTTTGGGGCAGTCTCTTCCCTATCTTTTCTGGATGGATGGGATTGACTCAGAGCCTGTTTTTGTTTTGCATTTTTTCCTACCTAGGATGAAATAAAATTAACTTCATCTCACCTGTCAGTAACGAGCAACAGCCTCTTTTGCAGCGCTATTAATAGCAGGAGCTGACGTTTTACTCTCTCACACCGCTATCTGAAAATAATCACTGCTGCAAAGATAAACACAAACCCTGACAGCTACAACTCTCCCTGCCCTTCAGACACTCATCTCGTGGCAGCACTCTCATCGGCCTCCATCTTTTGGGGTCCCCCTGCCAACTCGCCGCTGTGGTCATCCC